AGTAAGTTCCTGCAACAAGAACTAATCACGCACATACTTCCAATAAAACAACCACTTGCCATTTTACACTTTTTTTATTCAATGTTTAGAAGGTTCACTTAGCTTATCACAAAGACTGGAAATGGGGAAACAGCTGGCCTGACTGTCCAGCAAAGGCAGTTTGATCTTTTAGCTATGGACAGTGTCAGGGCTAGCCGTTTCTCCTCGTTTCCAGCCTTTAAGCTATGCTAACTGAACTGCCGGTTCCAGCTTCATATTTACCATTCAGATATAAGAACGGCATCAATCTCCTCATCAAACTCCCAGCAGGAAAGCAGAGACAGAATAAATCAAATTTTCCATAACGTCGAACATTTCCTTTAATGTTCAGTCAAAATAGAGCATGGTGCTTAGATAACCAGGCAACCCTTTTTGAACCCACATTAAGCTACAGCAGGATCAGAAAGCAATTTGGACTGTACCTGCCCACCAAAACATCTGCCACAGGATGTTACTGTGAGGGTAATACAAACTAGTGAACCATGTGAAATTGCGGAAACTGCTTCTACAGTATACCGGATAATGCGCTGACTCATGCCACCGCCACCCATCCCCCTACCACACTTTTTGGCACACACACTGAGAAAGTGAGAGAGAAATAGTGGCGAGTAATTTATTTTTTGACACAAAGAACATTCACCACCCAGTTATCCAAAATTATAGATAATTTAGAGAAGAGTAAAGGACACAGAGACCCATGGGAGCAGACATTGTGCAAGGATGAATGCCAAGTAAATCCAGTGCCCTCAGACTAAATGTACTGTAATGATGTGAGTGGTAAGTGGTGATTCAGAGGGTCAATTCATTTTTAATTTTATCAATTTAACTGGTTTATTTTCCTTAACATGCGAGATCCTTTTCTTAAGAGAAAGTAGTACCACAGTGTGTAAAAACTGCTTTACAAGTAAAAGTCCTTTAAAAAATGTACTCAAGTCAAAGAAGATATAGTATGTACTTAGAATATGACGAGTTAAGGTATTTAAAATCCAGAATTGCCCATTTCTGAGTGGTTAGTTATTGATGCATTAACACAGCACCATTTTAATGTTGTTGAGCTAATTTCAGCAACTTTATATTGGCTAGTTTTACTGTTTTTCTTTATCATATGTCAACATCAACAATAGCTGTCAGATAAATAAAAAGAATAAAATGCATAATCTTTCCCCACAAAATGTAGTGGAGTAGAAATATGAGGCAGCAGATAATGGAATTACTCAAGTGAATTACAAACACCTCAGTATTGTACTGAAATACTACTACTAAATGTATTTAGATACCTTCTACCACTGAATAACACCTCTACTGCAAGGAGAACTACATCATCCACTACCTGAACTTCAGGGATATGCGGTAACATTACATTTATCCTACTGTATGCTGTCATTGCAGACTGATGCAACCTTGGAACCCATGCAGCAGGGACAGCACTCTTCCTCTCATACTGCTCATTGAGCTCTTGGAGCCACAGGACAGGCAGCAGCTTTGATATAAATGGATTTCTCCACACCCGTCTGGTCTTGATGCACCATTTAAAAGGGAAGATCTTACTGGGCATCATGAACCTATTATAATACTGTCACCCCTTGAAGCTTTCCCCACTATCCAGTTCTCCTTCTCTAGAGTGATCAAAAGAGTAGAAGACATAAAGAAGGTGGATAAGAGAGAGGAGGGTGACTGCTGGTCAGTGGAAGCAGAGTTCAACTCCAGTAATGTAAATGCCTTAGCCATCTGTTATTTTGTGGCTTCAACAAAACAACTTTCGCTATAGATTATTCAGCTTCTAATGGAAGATTTTTTAGCATTCATGCTTTGGGCTGTTGTGGTTGATGTTTTTTTGATCACTACAAGCACAATTAACTTTTTAGGCCTCACCTACTCACAAAACTGCGTAATAAGGGGTTAGGAAAAGTAAAGGCTTTGCACTCATCAGTGTAGAGCAAAGCTATGATTATCTCCCAGTCTTTTGGGAAATGTAAATTGAGTTCTAATAATCTTTTAAGACAGCAGTGTCATTTAAGAAGGTTGTTGTAAATGAAATAAAAAACAAAAGCCTGCATGTTTGTTGCACGCACACACACACACACTAACACACAATCAAGCTCCCTCCTGGTGCATTTCATTAGTTGACTGTTTTCTTCCAATGGGAAGACTAAATAAGGACTGTCATTGGCTTCTGAGGCTGAATAGTTTGGTCACTCACAAGGGAGAGAATTAAAGGCTAAAAATGGAAGCAATTTTCTTCCAAGATTAGCCTGTGAGGAAACTAAGAAAGATGAGTTTAATGAAGCTTTATGCCACTAAATTTACCCATTCTTTCTTAATCGTTATTTGGTGTTAAAGGCTTTATAAGTTCTGATTAACATACAGGCTTGTAATTACTTTGCAAAAGAGCAGAAAGAGAGAGAGAAAAACAACATGAGAAAGACAAGGAGAACACAACACATTCGCTGAAGAGAGCAGAAAATGATCCACGGAAAAGACATTCATATTGTCCTGATAAAAACATTGTTATGAGACATTTACAGCCTTCTCTGCAATTACCTTCAGACAGATTGAAAGAATGGAGAAAATCAAAATCACTGTGCTGTTTACTGATTCTTTCATTGTTTACCAAAGAGAGCCATCTACTGGAGAACTATATACATTAAATACTGAAATAAGTGAATTTACATGCTTGTAGTGATTGTGATTATAATTTTTCACAGAAAAATATCTCCAGGGGCATTAATTTAATATTTTCTGCAGATAGATTATACAGTACTTTCAGTCAAGGCTCCATGGTCCTTGTCCCCCAAAACCTATATCCCTTGTTTAGCCATTACTTTGACCCAAACATCTGTATAACTGGCTATATGTTCCTATGAGTCCATTACTAGCCAACAATACCCTTGGCTCCTGGTTTTTCTAATAAAATGGGAATGAGGGATTGGCAGTTTGCAACAGTTGATGTGACAGCAAGCCTTAGTATGAAGGTCACTGTGATGGAAATGTGTTGTAACACACTTGTAAGCTGAAAGTCATACATGGTGCACATCATTCAGTCACGTAATGGTCAATGTCATGTAATTTGTCAGTGTATTAAGTGTCCAAGGCAGCAATCCAATGTTATTCTATACGGCTCTCATCTAATTATTTGGTCATTCTGACACCATGGACAAAGCCCAGTGTTGGATGAAGTCAAAGAGCATGAGGCCTGTGAAATGTTAAAAATGTGACAACACATGGGGTCCTTATGATTCAGACAGTGTCTATCTCCCCATCACAGTTTTTGTCTCAGTTCAATTGTGAAGCTCACGACAAAGAACAATTCATCACACATACTGTTGCCCCTCTTTTTCCCTCTGGCTCATTTCCCCAAATGATTTTGGATCCAGTGCCAATGTAGTTGGTGATGTGTTTGGAAAAATAAGCATCTTTTCAAGGTTATGATGACCCTCACTGAAAAAAAAAGGAGGGGAAGCCTCTGAAATCCTATTATCTAGAGGCCTGCCTTATTTTATTGCCATCAGCAGTGCTGGCCCATCAGCAGCATGGCAACAGTTTCCAACAATTGCTCCCACACTAATTCTATCGCTGTAGTGAGACTTGCCCAGGGTGTGGACATTAAACTCAATTTTCATCTAAAAGTGATTGCATAATGTCTGACAATGCAATTGAGGTAATGTGGTTATTAAGGTAAATGTCATGTCATGCTATAAGGAAACAAAACTTGATTTGTGCAAATCATACAAAACTTTCAATCTAAACTTGAACTCTCAATTTATACATTTAAAGCATGTCTTCATTTTGCTTCAATTTTGTAAAACAATGTGTGTAAAAATTTATTTTGAGTCTCGAAATGTCACAGTGAAGTAGTAGTAGTACAGTATGAGGCAAAATGACCTGCATCACCTAAGCTTATGTTTCTATTTAAATATTGAGTAAAGAAATTGATTACATATTCAATGTGCATTCTACTGGGGCTAGAGAGGGTCAGGACAGTTATCACCATGATAAACATCTACATCTGCATGTGTATGTTTCCATGGCCATGACTTAGATACCAACAAAATGTTTTTATATTTTGAATTTAAAAACATTTGTCCATATAGCTTCGTGTCAACAGAAGTATTATTAACTTGTAACAAAAGATGTACCAAACGAAAGAACATTTTACTGCATCATGTCGTTATAAGTGATGAAATATTCCTTTAAGAAGGACCTTTGAATATTTGTAATAGTAATTGAGTCAAAGCACCTTGAACTAACAGTCTCAAGTTGTCTTATTAAACAATGTGGGTTTTTTTTGGTGTCGGCTATATAGAGTATAAACTGTGTGCATCTGGACTGAGTCACTAGAATAATTATAAACTGATTAATTTTAATATTATTATAATCATTGAATTAACCAAATGATCCAAACTAATCAGTGGAGTATTCATTATTACATTATAAATTAAAATTAAACTATATAATTCAGAAAGCTTTCAGTAATTATATTATAAAATAGTAATTAAACAATCCATTTACATTTCTATTCAATCATGTCTCTTTGTAGTGCACTTAAAAATGCATTAATTAGTTAATAAAACAGATGCAAATGATTTTGCAACGTAAAGACAAAAGAGTGAGGGTAAACCTAAACTGCAAGAAGCAAGAGACAAATAAAGGAAGGTTTGGTATAAAAATAGAAAGTCAATGACATAGCCAATCACAAATTATTTTATGAATCCATTTAAAAATGTGTAAATTTATTAAGCATTTAAAGACAAAAAAAGTGTTTTTAGTCTGGCAAACAGTAGGTTTTTTGAAAGGTACAAAATAAGTGATTTAATAAATTGCAGTTTTAAGGATATGAGTTTAATTTGAAATTATTATTAACCACTAAAAACATCTATTTACATACATATACAGATGTAATGTTTTTTTAAAGATTAATTTATGCTATTTTGCCTTAATTTGTCAGCAGAGAGAGACACAGAACACAAGGCAGAGGGAGGGGGGTGCTGCAACTATGTGGTATATACCTTAAAATGCACGACCAAGATATAATATTGTTTCATTAAAATGCTGTAGTTTATCGGGGGAACCAGCGTGCAGTCAGAATCAGCTCAGACAGAGATTGTTTTAGTTTAGGATACGGCTTCAGTTTTCCCCAGATAACCCGTGAAATATATCACATGACCTTTAGCTATATAACTAACAACGAGTAAACTCAAAGAGCCGCCAGCAGACAACGAAAAACACACAACACACAGCACATCAGTTTTCCCACATATACAAAGCTGGACTTTGCCAGGGGTTGGTGAGCTGAGGTCTGGGACACTTCCTCCGGTGAGTGGATGTGTGCCATGCTAGCTGGAAACCGGCATATCTATTCCTGAGTTGCCGCGAGAAATTTAGGGTGTGTGGAGGTGTGCATGTGTGTGTGTGTCACCCAGATTTACACAATATTAAGCAGCTAAGAAAACCTCAAAACTTCCTCCAGAAATACTGCAGGCTCAGTAATCTCTACTAAAATGCTTGTTGATGTTAAAAACACTCACATAAATAACTAAACTGATGACAACAAACTGCCTCTCTTCCTTCATCCAAACAAGTTTCATCTTCACCTGACCGTCTGAGTCCAGATAGTGAATCAGGAAGTGCTCACCATCATAGTCATAGGAAATGGCTGTCTTTTCCAGCTGCATGGAAACAGGTGAGCTGACACACCAAAAGGGTTTCCTGAATTCATCCAGCAGAGTCAGACTCATGATGCAGCAATTCTGGCAAGAAGAAGAAAAGTAAACATGTGTCAAGATCACTGCTGGGATTTCATTTGGGTTTCACTACTATGAATACTACAGTATGACAAGGTCTTGAAAATCTTTATCCAGCAACACATCTAATACATCAAGTAAAATAATAAAATCTTATTATAAAATGAGAGACTTCAACTGTATTCTGCTTATCCCTGAGAACGGAGAGAGTGGTTTGGGCCCCTCTCACTGTTGTAATTCTAAAATTAACTTTTTAATAGGTCTGTATAAAAATTGCACATAGTCTCTTTCTGTTTTTTCAGCACTTTTTACCACTTGTCAGCAACATACTTAGGACGCCTAGGGCATGCATTTTTTTTCCTCTAATAACACATTGTAGAACAGTGTGTGAGTAGCTGACAGTAGGCTACACGTAAGTACCTCTACTGCGCCCTGCAGGGCCTCACACCTCCAGGGCAGGGTGATGCAGCCTGACAGAGGGGTGTGCTGAGACAAGTTTGTCCTGCTAATGGCAGTCAGCCGGATGAATCCGTCACAGATCTGAGCTGGTAAAAGACAACATCACATAACAAGAAAGTCTATATTATAAGAATTAGCACTTTACAGTAGTGTAACGTCACATGTTTAATTAATGCTTTATGAGCTAAAATCTGAAAGCATCAAATTAAAAAGTCATTTTCTGTGCGAACATAGTTAGTAAAGGGTTTTTAAATTTCAAAGCTGCAAAGGTTTTACTGCCCAAGTCTAAGTATATATGACAGATTTAAATATAAAAAAAACTATAAACATTAATCTATTACAAGTTTTGATTTATGAATCACATCCACTCTGATCAGAGAGAAAAGAATCTTTAAATGTTCCATACAGTTCTGTACAGTTCATATTCTGCTGACATCATTTCACAATGTAACTTAGTATATATAGATATATAGATGTATAAATAGATTACTTCTGCGGCAGAAGAGCTGGGAAAAGCTTGCAGACATGAGCTTGCATCCAGTGTCGTGGAGAGCAATGTGTAGTCGGTAACCATGGAGACCGTATTCGGGGTCTATGTCATCAAAAGGGGATTTGACCTTTGGCTCCACGTACGGGCTGGAGGGAGAAGAAACTAAAAAAGGTAAATCACAAGCTGACTATGTTGCACGAGGAGAACATTAAGAAAAAGGCGTTTGATTATTAAGGCATTTCTGAGGTTTATTACTTCAGTGGACTGTAATAATAATGTGCCTTAACTGTACTGTGCTCTCACAAGAGACCAGAAGAGGGGGCTATGTCCACACTCCACGCTCAAGTGCAAGACTCACAATAGATGTGGCCAAGTGTCAAGAATGTTGTGTAATGCCGGTGCTTTGTCTTTCCTCTCAGATGATCAGTGAGACACTTTCTAGATCACACAGCAACTCCAGTACTAAATATCATACAACCTGAATGACTTTTTTTTATTTTTCAGATGCATGGAAAATAAAAAGTGAATACTGTACAATTTGGGCCAGTGGCTCGTGACTCAAATATTGTCTACTAATAATGTCAGAGTGTGGACATGAGTTGTGAGCAAGTTAACCAAAGAGTGATTTTATTTATTTTAAATATATGAAAATATGAATATAATGTTTTTCCTGGGGCCCCCTCATGGGTCATGAAATCAAGGTTTGGAAATTCAAATTTCGGTTTGATTCAAACTAAACATTAAAGCAAATTTATCCAACTAATTAACCCTCTCTTTTTTCTGCTAATGAGTACATTCAACTGTATGTTGTATCCTGATGACAAAAGATTAAAATCACTGGTGTTGTGATACATGACAAGAATAGTCTTCTTTATATAAAATGTAGTACAGTCACTATGTCCTCTGTGCTGGTGAAATACAGGCGCCACTCATGCTGACGCATCAACTCTCACCCTGCAGTGCATCATAGATGGGTCACATCAGCAGCATCAAATAAATCCTGTCAGTTATCACATCCGTTGAATTTGAACCCTAACAATGTGATGGTGATACAATGCACGCCACCTAAGCATGTGAATAAGAGGTGCCTGGTCAAGTGTAGCCTACCAAACTGAGGACCCCTGGACGCTTCTTTCCACTAGTCTGTGGAAGTGGAGGGTGAACATGATGAAGGCAACGGAGCACTGGTCCTGCAAAGAGAGCCACCACTTACATTCGCCTGCTAAATCAGTCATTTTGAGACTAAAAATGTGACATATATCACTTTTCCAGCTACTAATATATAACAATTACAAAATGCCATAATTACCCTCCAGGTTCCGACGATGATTCCCGGCTGCAGCAGCTTCAGTTCAACCAGTCTGTCCTGACCAATGACCTGCGCGCTTTTAGTTAAAGTCTGCATGTCTAACTTGGCCATGAGGGACCTCCAGCCAGGTCTGACAGAGCAAGCAACGACAACCATAGTGTTTTTTTGTTTTTTTTTTTTTACTTAGAGAAAAGAGGAAACAGACAGATGGACACCTAGTCTCTTACTTCTTTAGGCCGGGGCAGCTGAGGGCTATCCTCCTGACGCCGTGAAGTTGAAGGGTGGAAATCTGCTGGTAGCTGGGCAAGCAGCGTCCTCCACTCCAGCACAGAGACACAGAAGTCTCGCAGAATCGGGACCAGCTCAGCTCCAATGTGCCCTCATGCCCTGACTTCTCAGAGACTGTCAGCTCCCAGGTGACGTGCAAGTTTCTAGAATATGATGTGACAGATATTTGGAGCTTTTGCATATACTATTGTTAATATACAGTGTAGAGTAACAGAAGGGAAAGCGGCTGAGAGCTTAGCGGTTGGTTCAAACACAAACAAACCTGAAATTAACAGCCTCTCTACTTCATAAAGTGGGAGGTAACTCATTGGATGTTCCCTGATAGCTGCATGAAGACACCAGTGAATTGCACAAAAAACCAAATCTTCAAGACACTTATTTGAAGTTAATACAATGCAAATAATTGGCCAGTGTTGGGTAAAGCTGACACTTGCTCTTTTTATCATGCTAACTAAAAGTTTAAAAGTAATGTCTGCTACCTTTCTTTTGACAGTAGTAGGGAGTAGTATGACTACAGTTTAGCTGTTCTCACTAATGAAATGATATGCAGCGAATGAAATGAAACCGCAGCTGTTGTGATAAATCTCTTGATCCAATTCTGTCTAAACTGTGATTCAGAGCTGCCCCTACTGTGATGCAGCCAGTGTCTCGCTGAGGCACCATCCAATATCAATTAAATGGCGAACAAAGCTAAAAACTGGAGCAGCCCAGGAGGCTCCAGATGACCCAGGGGATTTCACTCTTCATTGTCTGTCTGTGTGATGTCTTGTGATGATTATTACCAAGGTAAATCGCATGCTCCTCAGTGTTTCTAACAGACAAACCCCCACAGGGAATTGTCTGAGTTGGTGGGAGGAGGGAGAAAGTGTGCTTGCATGCATGTGTGTGCTGTGGATGATGGGTTGGGGGGCTAAGTAATTTATTTCAACAATTCAGACAGCCTCTGCAAGGAACACAATTATTTCGACTTCCCCTCTGTACCACAGCGACTGCCACAGAACTCAAAATTGAGTGCTGCACAGCCTCTAATCAGAGGTTATAAAAACACAGCAGAAACCGCGGTGGAGGCGGAGAGGGAGCTTTCCCCTGCGTGCTGGCATCCCCCTGAGCAGACATCACATTCAGACAGAGACCTCCTTTCTCACCTTTAATAAGAAAGTGTCATTAAGTGCGATATGAAAAACAAGCCATGCTTTGTTTTTGATTGCCAGTGGCTTGAACTGTCCTCTAGTCTCTACCCCTGAGCTGCCTTCACAGTGAGGGAGGATCTCCAAAGTTTTACTGTTTACTAACCACAGCCAGTGCAGGGGTTCCCATGATACCTTGCAAAGCTGCTTCCAATTGTAAAAGAGTCAGACAGACCAAACAGGAGGTAAACGTATCAAGCTGTAAAATACAAAACTAAGTGACACGAGGATTCCGGAGGAAATAATGAGCCCTTTTTTCTCACCTCAGTAGCGGAGATGTTGAAATGTTTGAAAAGAATACATGATAAGTACTTGATTAGTTTAACTAACAAGCAGCACTTCTCAGGATACTCGAGTACCTAGTGAATGAAATCAAGGCTCTGCTACATTAAACAAATCATGCACCCCAGGTACTTCATATAAGTGGTTTTCAAAAGTGTTTTTCTTTTTAGCATGGCTCCATCTCTTACCTGAGAACCTGCTCTGTCTGACTGGGCAGCCCAGTGTGACGGCTGATGAGTCCAAGATGTCTTTTCCACTTGTTCATGTCACATGCGGCTACAGTCTTGAAGAACAGCCACTTCCAGTAGCCAGCAGCGGTATCCTGCAGCTCCACTGTGGCCATCTTCAGCAGCAGCTCATCCATGCACTTGGATTTCTGCTTTTTTTTCTTGCCAAACTCCTCTATGTATATCCTGTTCCACAGAGCACTCCAGGTGAGAGATTGCAGTGAGAGAAAATAAAATGAAACAAATGAATGAATAAACATATCTGGTGTTAAGGGTGTAGCATTTGAAGACAACAGCAACAATATTGTCATGTCGTCATTTGTGTTTTCATTGAAAGAAAAAAAAAAAGAAGCATTTTTATTTACTTGGTGCTTTGAAAAGTTACAGCGTGATAATGTGCATTAGCCATAAATTCAGAAATTCATACAAAAGATGGGAGTTTTGAGTAATGCCTTGAAAAACACTGTCATATGATGTCACCACAGCACAGTATAGTAGTACAGTGCAGCCAGTACAGTAGTGAGTCTGGGCAGCTGTCTTATACTGACCGTCTTTGCACTTTTTTTTTTTTTTTAATTACTCCTTAATTATGTATTCTAAATTACAGCCTGTCAGGACATCGAACTTAACTGCAAATTAGTCTCTCTTATAACTGTTCACCACTGGCTTTGGTGCTTCTTCATATGTGACAGGAAACTTTACAATATTATGAAGTGATGTTAGCAGCTGCTGGTCACCCAACAAGACACCTACCCAAGCTCTCTCCTGGTTACCCTCGCACCACAGGACCATTTCTTGCCACCGGTCATTTTCTCTCCCTGTTCTTGCAGGCTCAAAATTGTTCAAGTAATTTTTTTTAAACAAAAATTCACTAAGCGCAGCCAATCAAATGTGATTATTTTGATAGACATCTATGATAGTAAACTGAATATATATTAGGTTTGGGGTTGTTTGGTCAAACAAAACAGGGAACTTGGGCTCTGGGGAAATTTCCACTATTTTCTGGACAACAAAAAATGAATCAAATAATGGAGGAAAATGATCAAGAGATTAATCTATAATAAAAAACAATTGTTAGTTGCAACATTATACTGCAGTGGCAGAGTTATTTCACTTTGAGAATTCAGGTACGGACAGAAATAACTTGACAAGGAGGGATTTCTTTGTGCGGCGCAGTGTTCAGATATTCCCTGACATGAAAGAATACTGCTTTTACTGACTGCTGGATTAGATAAACATATACTCATTTGTAAAATACGCCATGTATGTTGAATTAACAAGACTTGGCTGATACTTACTTATCATTGGCAAGCCGGTAGAAGAGCTTATTGACATGGCTGATGGTGAAAAGAGCGGAGGCATCCAGGTATGACAGAATCTTAATAAGGATCTCAGATGGCAGTCTACGAAAAAAGGTAATTAGACATCAGAACAAGGAAGTGACACCAGTGTTTTCATGCCACCTGTTGCTCAGCATGTAGTTCTTTAGAGGCAGAAGTGTATGAGACAAATGTGCTCTCACCAGGCTACTTGGCAATTTTATCATACACTTCTGGGAAGAAAATGAAATGACCCACATTGATGTTCTCATTTAGTGGATGTGGTACAACACCACCTAAATGTGAACAATATGAATGACTCGCTGTTTTGTAAAGAGCTCTTACAAGATCTTAATATAACAATTCACCTAAATCTCAAAACAAAAGAGGAGAATGTCACATCTTCCGTAATTGACACCCAGGAGAAGCAGCAACTGTGGTGTCAAAAAAAGACCCTTCTCGCTGTGCAGGAAGTGATGAATTAAAGCGTGAGTGAGAGCCAAACTGTGAACAAGCACTCATCCATATGAAAGCTGAAGTCATTGATGTTAGGTCTTTTGTCTTTCTTTGGTAAATATGAGCATGTTTGGAAAATCTGTTATGTGTAATGTTTATTATCATTATTACACCTATCTGCGTGGTTTAGTGTGTTGAAATACTTAAAAAGGTCACATTTTTCTCCATATCTGTTAAAGAGAATTATTGATCAGGTTTGTCTGGATGCACCTGTCCTGGTTAATGATGCCAGTAGATTCCAATTAAATGACTTGAGTGAGTAATATATTCATGTTCATATTTCTTGCCTGGTCAGTCACTGTCATTTCACTGCACATCAACAAACACATGAAACAAATTCCAAATGAGACACTAAATGAATAAATCATATTTGGTGTAATTTTCACACAGGGAATGTCACATATTTCAGCTTTAAAATTCAAATGGCTTAAATAGTTAACCTCTGGCTGACATTTGGAGCTGTCAAAATACAGAAGTGCTTTTCTAAGTCATGTTTGGCAGTTCTACAAGTTTGGAAATAGGCTTTGAATGAGTCGGTCACAAGTGGAAACCAGTTTACCATAAAATTATTTGGGATTTTTACAATTTATACAATGATTATAAATAGTCCTTATATACATCTAAATCTATATCTTTACATATAAACAGCTAAAAGGAATCATAAGTAAATCATTAGTGGATTAATGGCTCGACTGAAAATTATCAGCAACAATCTAAATAATTGAATAATCAACAACACAACTAAGAGTCTCCTGCCAGGCCAGCAGCTGTGAGGGTGTAAGGCACAGCGGTGCTTCGAGCTAAATGTTAACATTAGCATACTATGTTGCTACATGCTGATGGTACGTAGTTTCTATTTTGGTTTAGTATGTAAGCATGCAAATATTTGCTAATTAAGACTAAATACCAAGTACAGCTGAGGTTGATAGACTAAAGTCAACAAATACTGAGCTGACGAACAGTTAAGGGGTCACCAGAGTTGTTACATGACAATAGTTGTCAAGACATTTCAGTCTAAACCACAAAAGTCAACCTCATTGTGGTACTAAAGGAAAAGTCAAGGGATCACTAAAGTCTGTTGGATTCTTCCTCTTAGGGCCCTGAATGCTCAGACAAAGATTCACGGCAATCCGTTAAGTATTTGTCACAACATTTCACTAAAAAACAAAATGACAACTTATGGCCAGTTAAGTCAGAGAAGCATCGAAATCATCCTGTGACGACCATGAAAGTCTGGACAAAATTTCATGGCAAGCCATCCAGTAGCTGTTTTTAATATTTTACTTAGAACAAAAGTGGTGGGTAGTTGATCCACCAAACACCAACATTGCAATCACAGCCACTTGCAAAGATAAAAATGCCAAACATTCTCTGGTACCAGCTTCTCAGATGTGAGGTTTTGCAGCCATTACCGTTTGTTATGGCAGTGTAAATTGAAAATCTCTTGTTTTAGAGTGCTTGCGGTACAAAACAAGCAACAGCACAGAAAATGAGAGGCATTTTTCACTTTTTTCTTATGTTTCATAGACTTAATGCTCAGTACTATCCAGCACTAATCTAAAATTACATATTTACAATAATGTGCCATGCACTTTTAAGGCAAGTGAGTCAGGTGTTTTCATTGTTTTAGACATATTCTTCCAGCAAACTGTGGCCAGTTTTTTTTTTTGCTTAAAAGTTGTGCTTATTGAGCTCTTGAGACAATGAAATCGAAAACTTTCAATGATGATAAAAAAAAATTGAAAAAAACTTTACTAAATAGACACTCTTGTTTGGCAGTTCCCACTTAAATAACAGACAAAGACGTGGTGAAAATAGCCATTTGAGGAAAGCCTGGTGTTTCATTGTTGCATTTAGTGCCTACATTCAGTGGGGGAAAGAATCCGATTCCTTAATTTGAACATGTAGTGAAGTGTCTTTCACCCGTATTGATTTTACTGTGCTTTTATTGTGTTTTGCTGCAGGCGCTGTCTATAAATCCTTTTACTTAGACGGCAATAAAGCACTGACTTGCCACAGTTTCTGAACACAGCCTGTCTCAAGTGTTGAATGGTGAAAATATGAGCATGTTCTGACAGATTACCTTTCCATCGAGGTCTGAGATGATTTGTCAGCTCTTTTGAACGTCCTCACTGCCCGCACTCTGAAAGTAACTTGTTTTGAAACTGACATTTGTCTCACTGGTCTCGAACCCTTTGAGACAGATACAAGACCATTCATATTTGCAGGGAGGCCATATAACGTCAAGAGCCAAGTTTGTTTGACAGCGGTTTAGCTAACAGGCAACGGAGGATAACTTCGATGCAAAATAGACAAACGTGTCCATGTAAACTCCACAAGTTAGCTATATAAATAGAGTTTGTTCTCTTTCTTTGTAGCCATCGCTACGTTAAAGAATTAATGTGACAGCGTTAAATATCTTAATTGTCCGCGTCCAGTCGCCATGGTGACGTCCAGTCAAGTTCCGTCCACGAGCAGAAACAACTTTTCCGGTGGGGAGGGGTACATTTGCCTTCAAAATAAAAGCGAAAAAAACTTATTTCAATCAGACTGTACAGAAATTATACATTATATATTTTTAAATTGGTTCAAGTCACAAACTCTATAGAAATTATACAGTCTGACTTTAAAAAGACATGTAATTCAAATACTGCTGGCCATAGGTTGCTAGATTTTCTTTCAGTAACTGTTACAAACTGGCTCAATGAACGTAGGCTAACAATAAGGGAGATCACAAGTTATACTAAAAAAGAAGCAATTTACTGTAAGTAAAACATAAGAGAAATGAGGTGTGAGAATCAGAAAGTTTGGTCATGAAAGCAGTGCATGTATGAGTGGTGCATGTGCTGTGGCGGTGTTGTATGTGCAAAAGCAAAACAAATAGGTGTCAGCAGATGGAAGGGAGAGGACAAGTGAGCACATGGGCCAGCTTTTATTCTCTGGAAGGCCCAGGTGAACAGCATAAGCTGATGACATCCCAGAATGCAGATTTGTATTTTTCCCCAGGAACAAAGGAAAGTGCAAGTTCAACCATTGACCCAAAGTATGTTATCAAATTGTTGCTCCCAAAATGAGCACCAAGGCATACCATGTGTCCAACAAACCATGGCCTGCAGCTAGACAAAGCAAATTCATTGCCCTGCCTTAACAAAACTCCAGCTTTAACACTTAGCACTCCCCCCAAAGTAGCATACCCAAAGGTAGGAACCAAGCTACAACAAAGCTCACAAGGAAAGCATGAACTGTAGCGCTTATGTTTACAAAGCTACCAGGCCAAGCTACCAATACCAATACCACTATCTGAAGGATACCGTTTCCTCCCTGCAATTATTCTTGACCCTCACTTACCTAACCAAATTGTACCAATTATGTCTGGACATCCTGATGCGCGACAGGCTCAAGGTACAATCTCTGATTGAGATCAACCACTTCATCCTACAAAGGGGAAGCTTGCATAATAAATCTCAGAATGGGTTTGCAAGCCAAATTAATTAGGGACACTTGCTGCTCCCTTCCAACAAACACTACCAAAACTAACACGACCAAACTAGAGTAACCGGCCTAACAAACTGCAACTGCCTACTGATGTTAGCAAGGACAACCTCCAAAACAATGGGAGGGGCGTCACAGTAACCAGGTCACCTTTCTGCAGGGTTGCTGTAATTTGAAAGGCGATGAATTAAAGGAGCACACCATTGATTTACTACTGCACTTCCAATAAGGTGGGGGATTCACAAGAGGCAAGTTAAAAACAAAATGGTCAAAATTGAAGCAGCAGAGGATGAGATATGCTGACTCTCAGTTTCTGGTATGTGTCAATTCTCTGAGGCAAGGTGAGTTTAATTCTTAAGAATCGTTCAAACAACAAAGCAATTCAAAGTTCTAACTCATAAACTTAAGTATCCTTAACTTGAGCAAAAGTAGTAAAATCATACCATAACAATGCTCCATCGCAATTTAGTCCAGGATTCAAATTTTTACTTCAGTAAAAGCACAAAAGTATTGACTGTGAGTGTTTTTAGACCTTTGATTCAGGAAAGATGGGGCTATACTGTAGGATACAGTGTACACATGCATAAAAACACACATACAACCGGTTTATCTGGCCGTTTTTTTCTATATATTAATTTTTTGGTGGTGGTTTCATCCTGAATATAAAAGCGTAACCAGACTGCAGGGCTGCAAAAAGCTATAGAGACATATACACACTACATCTGCTGCACTGCTTTGTCTTATTTAACAGTTTTCCTCTTAAGAAATTCAAAGATATGTTCGGTGTTATGTTCAATAACTTCTGGTTAAGATAATGAAACTATTGATAATGAAAGTAATTCATGTATTATCCTCATCATTCTGTTGCAACACAATACATCTGTGTAACACTTTGTTTCTGAAACAATCACTATAAGAGATACCTTTGATTATTTTGAACCTAGATTTAAAAAAAAAAACATGTTTCACATGAGGCTGGAAAAATTTGTTGTGATACATTTTGGTATATGAACATGCGTACTGCAGTTATTTACTTTCTTTGCCTGGAGACTCAAAAACTATCACATTAGACAGTTTATCTTGTGAGAACCTACTTTTTGTTCCTAAACAGAACAGAATAAGCAGATTTTGGTCTCTAAAATGTGACTACACACACACACACATACACACAGAGTAATACCAGTTACTGTAAGCTCTAGCAGGTGCAGTACGGTCTGCTGCAACCTTTCTCAGGGTTAGCAATATAATTCCTCATCAGGGTGTTAGCCCAGTACAAGCAGGAGAAGAACAGGCCAGATTGATGTTATTTGTCTCTTCACACATGCTAAGATAGAGGTCACACCTTCCCGGTGTAAGGCAGGAGAGACATAACACAATCTCTCTCCCTCGCTGTCAGATGTTTCTTTTAGAGCTGCAACGAGAGAGAGAGAGAGAGAGAGAGAGAGAGAGCTCAACAATGAACTTGTTTGAGTCTGACCTCATTTCAAATTTGAAGATACGTTGATAGCTGCATGCAGACAGATGGACAGGCAGACAGATGGACAGAGAGATATTTATTTTAAAGTGGGTATTTTAGACTTCATGAAGCATATGGCGGTGTTGATTCTTAGTGCATGATATTTGCAAAATAAGTATTGGGACAAACTGTATAAAGTATATGAGAGAAAAAAAAAAAAAAAAAACTTCTGCATGAATCAAAAATCTAAATCAGAGGAATCGTGCTGATATAAATACTTTTTATTTGTAGAGAAGAACACAAAACCAACCAGACTGAAGCTAAGTCCTTTTCCTTGCAAAAGCAGATGGCTCGCTTTAAGACCCATCACATAATCGACCTCCCCGTTTTTGGAAGCCAGTAGGCTCTGCTAGCTGTCAGGGAAAATAACCATAACATTGTTGTCAGTCTCGCCGATCAGCCTCCCTGATGGAAGTGAAGTCCCTTTTAGGGCAACGGCAGCCCCTGGTATGGTAATGCCATGTAGACCACATCCCTTTCCCTTGCATGCCCCCGCCCCCCCCCTCCCCTACTTGACATTTGATGTTTTCTGTAGCTATATGTCCTTCTGAAGGCCCGGGGTCAGTTGTGACTCTTGGTTACCTGATGTCACTCTTCCGCATGGTTTGTCAGTCAGCTCTGACAGTGCAATGTGGGGCTGAGAAAGAGGGGAAGGATCACCATGATTAAGTCTAAAATTTTGTCTTTTCTTTGCACTGCAAGTCATGTGGATAATATAAAAAAAAAAGAAAGAAAGAAAAGATCTGGTGCTTATGAAGGCAACTTGGAGAAATTTAAACGCATACTCTGGATTTGTGTCAAGGCTTTTTCACAACTCATTCGCAGGGACATTCAATACCTTTAAGTGAAAGATTCAGCTCTGTCCTCTCCTCCTTTCTGTTTGCTCGCATTCAAAAATTCAAATTCCACTCCTGATGAATTATGTTGCAAAAAGTGATGCCTTCTCCTTCTACTATTTGCTTGGGCTGCATGAAGTTGAAAACAGTCTATACAGTACCTCCCTCTGCGAATGGTGAGTGCCAAGCATAATGTGGCCAGTTAGCATATCTTAAAGTAGTAAAAATGACAGCTCATTAAAGGTCCAACCAAGTCCACTGTCGGGCCCTTCAGAGGTGTGCAGCACTGATAGGGACTCTCTAGACGCAGCTCTTTAAAGGATGATGACATGTCAAGAATTCAAAAGAAAGGCTAAGGGTGGTACAGAGAGGTGCAGGTCATTCTCTGTGAAGTGAGAATATTCTGAAGTGTCACCTGCCTTCATTGCTTAAGGCTTGTTTGCGAAGTGTGACGTACAGGTGAAATCATTTGCTGATTCCCATCAATAAAATATGCAAGCCAGATATCCGCTGCACTTTATTATTTGAATCACTTTCATGCTTTGATATTTCTACGTACTTCTGAAAAGCAGATCTCTGCACAATTAAAATGCCACCACTGGATGGCGCACGAGTATCTTTATTGGACTCATAAAAATGCTCGTTTACGTCTGAAATTAGTAACATATACATGCATGCCGAATGTACCATGCAGCAGCAAGGTTATCCGCTGCAGCCCCTTTCATTTCAGATTAATCAGGATGAGACATGAGAAACCCACAGCATATAAATGACAGGACATTGAGAGCAAGTGATCTCTGCCGTTCCTGAGGGGCCCCTGAGCTCACAGCATTGATCTGATTAATATGTAAACAAACCCATTAATCCACGCGTGTGCTCTTAATTGCGGGATACTTCTGAGGAGTCTTGTTGCAGTGGCTACACACAAAGAATGGGCGTGAGTTGTCCCTCGAAAGGGAGCCCAGAGACTCTTGCTTTTTTTGCATCAGCGATCTGAGCGCTCAGTTCACAGTCTGCGAGAGACAGAGAGAGCATACCAGCGGGATGGATGGCACAGGTAGGTCGTGATTTACCTTTTTTTCTCAGCAGAAATACCTGCAAAGTGCTTGTTTCACCATAATTATCAGTTAGATCGAGGTTAGATGATTACTGTATCATCTCTTCCATTGATTCCATTATAAATTGTTGCAAAGTGCTGCTGCGCACTGTTCTGTTAGGAAACACTCTGCAGTAGCACAGATAGTTGGTTTGGTCAATAACGGACAAATAGAAAATGAGTAATCATATCTACAACATGATTTGTCAGATTTTGGCTTTAACAGAGACCGACTGCCTTTCATTTTACGCACGATAGCCATTTTACGCACACAAATTATACTCAAGTTTAATAAGTTAACTATATTAAATCCTTCTCCTAATGCTGTCTGACATGAGAAACTCTCATTTTTTCTCTTACCATCAGGATCTACAACAACAGTTGTCTGAATACTCTCCCAAAACTAAGAGGACGAGGACGCACAGGAGGGAGGGGAGTCTCAGCCGGAGAGAGTCTGAGTGCGTTTGTGTGTCAGAGGCTGTTTGAGAGAGTGAGGGAGCATCACAGATAGAGGAAAAGA